GAGGTAAGAAAAGCTGGAAAATTTTGGAGTGCCTCCCCTTCGAGTTATTTAACATTTTACTATGAAAATGCAACCATGAAAATATTTTTAGAAAACAAATATATCAAACAAGTATTAAATAATCTATTTGATTCGGTGAATCTGAAAACAAGAAATATAATTTGGGTTCCCTACCAATTGGGCCATAAGTTTTTTTATAAATATATGATTGCTTGGATTAAGGATCCCGGATTAAAAAAAAATTAAGGAAATTAACAAGATTTATAAGTACATAAGTTACTCTTCTCATCACCAATCGATCGTAAGAATTTCTATGCTCAAAATAAAATAAAAGAAAACATTCCATCAAATTTCTGTCACAGCCTTAGTCACTTTGGACAAATAAACTACCTATAATGATTGGTGCACACCAAAAAAATATATATATTGACATTAAAAAAAGGAGATGTTTGTATATGCATATATCGTATATATACTTTTTTTTTTTCAAAAATTTCATTTTATATGTTCCACTTGAAATATGTTCTTACGAAAACAATTTAGAACAAATAAGTAATTTTAGGTTATATWAAAATTGGTACCTAAGTGAATATATTTAATGTATATACACATTGTATCAATGGCAGAAAGAAACAATAAAGTTAAATTGTTCCTATACTTGTATAGTTATATTCACTTTTGGTCTTGGAAATATCTACGTGCAMTTCAACTAATTTTATTCATGTTTTTTAATTAATTAATTWAAATGATTGCTTTTATCAATTTTTAATATTATATAATTTAAATAAGAATGTGAGAATTTGAGAGCCTACMATTGTTGACGCACTATTATCATTGAGTGATAAAATTTAACAAAAATTTTAATGTCGTATTTTTTTTAGAAAACAAATTTTAATGTCGTATTAATATGGACAACAACTTTTAGATACTTACATTAATGACAAAAACTTTTAAAATTTGTAAGTTCAAACGGAAAAATAAACTTTGAGTTTGCAAGAACGATAGGTCGGAATCGACAAAATCATGAAATAGAGGAATAAAATTAAATAGATTATAAAGATACATGTTAAGATCAGTGTGACATTATTCTATCCCGACTTTKATCAATTCCAAGGCTGTCTTGCATTGTAGCAGTGTCTTTAAAATTAATGAAGGTTACTATGTTAGTGAAATTTCTATGTACTTTTTAAATCCAAATGATTTCCCCACACCAAAAGGCAAGAGGCTCCTATGTGGAAAAGCAAAGCAAAGCACAAAAAAAAAAAAAAATTGTTTTTTTTCTTCTGTTGTTGTGATTCTTATGCATTGTAAACAAAATAAAATGTAGGGGAAAATAAAATAGTAGGAGAATATTTGTATTGACAAGATTTTTCTCTTTATATGATTCAGTTTTTTTGGAAGCTTTTTGTTCACTAAAATAATGTGGCATGTGCTTTATTCTCTCGTGTTGCACTAAAAAGCCAATACTTAGCAGTAGTTTTTACGTAAATGTGTAGTATTATTTCAAATGGTTTTCCAYGTAGATTAATACATATTAGGAAAATACCATAATAGGCGAATCCGTATTATTTTATATGATTTTAGAAGAGAAATTAAGAAGTCAAACAATCCATATATGTGTCAGCAAACTAAACATATGTTCATCTCCGTCTAAAATTTATGGGTTTGAATTGTCGTCCTCTCATACTAAAAAAAATTAATTTATGAATTAATAATGATCATTAACAATATTTTGATTATATATATATCGATAAAATGAACAATAGGTACATATTCATTATTTCGTAAATATATCCTTCAAAAAATGATGTAGGCAAACATATTATATCTGCCATCATTTTTAATTTGAAGATATGAGAGATCGAACCTCCGATTTCGAGATAAAGAATATATGTTACTACAACTCTTATCCGTTTATATGGAAGGAGATATTCATTATTATGGGTGAGTTTAGGGAATTCACACGTCTTGTAAGTTTGTGATGAAACTTTATCGACTGTCCCAAAAATAAATATATATATATACATTAATATTTTCCGTGCTGTGGTCTCTCTCTCAATTTTTTTGTTTTCTTTTTGTTTTGAGAAATCAGATAAAATTCTTGTATGATAACATTTTTTTTCATTTGTTCCGCAATCGTCACTTACACAAAAACGGGTATTTGATTTTCACTCGGCAAATTCAAATTGGCAGTTAGCATTCACGAGACTTATTTTTCTCAAAATAGGAAAAAAAGAAAGGAATAGTAACCCATATTTTTAATAAATCTTTCTGTTTTTTTCAACCACGCATATAGGTGGAGATCAAACTTTAGATCTTCGTTTCAAGTTGACAATAAATCTAAATCTATCATGTGATCAAATTTGATTTCATTACCTATAAATTCTGGGCCCTTTTTTGGTATCCCAAATAATTATTAGGCCGACCTAAAGAATATCTCTTATAAAAATTAATAGGTTAATTATATGCGATAATCCTAATATCTTGATAATGTTTCAATTTAATTTTTTTTGATTTGATCATTTATTAACATCTTTTAATTTAACCTATCATTGATAATTATTAAAATCAGTGGAAGATAAACTTACGTATCATAACACATTAATACGGAGTGAATTAGTGAAAATTTAGTAAATCCTCCAAAATGTTAATAAATAGGTAGAGTATACGAGCTTTCTTTTTCTCTCGACGACCTTTCTTCCTCTCTAAAATCTTTCTAACCCACTAAATGTCAAGTCATTGATACACATTAATACTTAGTGAATTAGTGAAAATTTAGTAAATCCTCCAAAATGTTAATAAATAGGTAGAGTATACGAGTTTTTTTTTCTCTCGACGACCTTTCTTCTTCTTAAAATCTTTCTAACCCACTAAATGTCAAGTCATGTAAGTTTATTATTGCTTATCGGTCAATTTAACATTCAATAGCAAATTAAATTGAAAAATGTTAAAATATAAGGAACTAAATTGAAAAAAAATCAAAACATTTTTTTTACGACAAATGATCACCAACTTCGTTGGAGGTGATTTTCAGCTCAACACTTCTTGGTTGGATAATGAAAGTCACACGTGGCCTTGATCGATAAGACTCATTTCCTTATCTTGGTTCTATTATTTATAACTGAGTTGACGCAGAGCATGGTCGAGTCGACCAAGTTTCCTTGAGATTTTGTTCTCATTTATTAGTTGAACCGATCAGTTTCACTTCAGCTCAGCACTAGTCTCCGACAGATTTTCACGGTTACCTTAAAGAGTCATTGATGACTTGTAGGAACATTGTCAGATATTTTGCATATAAATAGAAATCACTTGCCTCATTTTCAGGTATGCAAACATTATATTCTCTCTCGAATTTAGCTTGGCTAGATATTGACTTTGGCATTGGAATATCTTTGTTTTGCAAGTCTGCTGTTTAACGTATCTCCAGCTCGTCTTCCAGGCTGTCCTACATCCGAGTCGAGGTTTATGGAATTGGTCAATTTCTTGATCAAACAAATTAAAAAAAAAAGTACGTATCTCTTCTGCAGAACTATACTCATGTTCATGACATTAATACTTACCATGTATATTTTTCCAAAGTAAATATAAAATACAAATGAGAAGGTTTATAAGATTAAATTTATGCAGTCTGATTACTTTAAAAAAAATGATCCCGTCTGAATTTATATAATTTAAAAGATTAACAAATACAAAGTTAGATTCTAGGTAAACAAATTTACATGACTATTGACTGAACTTCTTAGCTAGACAGAATTAATTTGTGAATAAAAATACTCCCGAAATAAAACAAAAATGATACCGTACAGTTTTAAAAAAAGGATTCATCATAGGCGAATCCGTATATCAAGGAATATGTTTGTATTATTTTTATATAAATGAATTCTGATACGAAAAAATACCAAATACTTCGACAAAAGTCAGTGTCAGTTTCGTAAATTTAGGCGCGAAAAAGATGGGCCCACCTCCCCAGACAGCAGCTCCTTCTGCTTTCTGCGACAGTACACGTGTCAGCATGGGACGAAAAAGACAGCATCCCAGTACGTTTGGCTACTCTTCGTCTTGTTAAATTACAGTTCTAACCCTCCCCCACTCGCGAAATTACCACATTGACCACTCCCCCGCTCTCTCTCCGAATAGACGTGACGCTTATTTAGTTATTTCCTATGGAGACTGCATTTCAATATTTAATTATTTTAATCAATGAAATTCCTAAAATAAAAAGAACAGATTTTCATAAATATATTTGCCAAAAAAAAAAAGAAAAGAAAAGGAAATACATACATTGTATCGCCACTCAGTCATTCCATCAGAAAATAATCAAACAATCGCATTTAATTGATGTATGAAAATAAAACAAAATGTCAGCAATTATGATTGATGTCTAAATTCCAACTTTAATCCATAGAGTTTCTACACCTCTTTAATTTAGTATTTAACTCTCCGAAAATATCTATGATAAATTTCTCACGCGTATAAATAGTTGACACATTCTTTTTACACGGGATAGACATCCAAAGACAATAAAAGATAACATCTAAAGAAACATATCAATCGACGTACTTAAACCACTAAATTATGTTCTAATAGGCATGACCATCATCCTCTCTTATATTAACCAAATTATAAAAATCAAATTAAAACTCTTTACACAACTGGAATACAGTACCAACCAGAGCATAGTTAAAATTAAGACACATGTATCAAATTATAAGATTGAAACTTCGAATCCTCATCATAAGCAAAATGATTTAAAAGTGAGACAAATGGGTAATTTGAACAAAACATTTTGAAAATACCAAATGGTGATAGAAGGGCTAAAATGGTAATTTAAGGTAGGTTAATGAGAGATTTAGAAAAATGGTAGGGGGGTGTAAGTGTAAGAGTTGGGTTGGGTTATTGGGAATGTCAGAGAAGGGACCAATGGCTTCGTTCTTCCAAAAAAACAAAATCTTGGAAATGCCCTTTTTCTCTCTTCTAATTTCTATTCTAAATCCAAATCCAAATCCAGGCTGTAGTGTGAGCGAGAGGAGACTATATTTCTTTCACTTTCGTTTTTTCTTACTGATTCCCTTATACGTCCCCCTCTCTCTCTTCCCTCTCTCTCTCTTACCCCCACTTCTTTACCCTAAAAAGGGACGCCCTTCCCCCACCCTTCATAGCCTCCTTCTCTTTTCAGGCCCCAATTTGCAGAACCACAGCCAAGGCGGAGAAGAGAGGAGGAGGAGGGAAAAGAGAGAGAGAAAAAAGAAAACCAAGCAAGAAAAAGAAGGGCCTCTGTTTCTGCTCTGCCTCGCAATAACTTTTTTGTTCTTATTGTCTTAAAAATCCATTTTCCTGGTAGAAGAATTAACAAAAATCCCCTCTCCTCTCGATCCTCATCATCATCACCACCACCACCATCATAATCATCAATAATACACAATTCCCAGGTTGAGATTTGGATTGAGATTGAGATTGAGAGGGGTTTTTTAAGCAATGGCGCCGAATTTTGACCTTGGAGTCGGGAGCCTTTTGTGTGCAGAAGATAATTGTATTTTCGATAATAACGATGATGACGACGAAACGCTAGAAGAGGAGTTTGTGCTGCCTCCTTACTATCTAAGAACTAATGGAACTCGGAGTCGTCGGAATCGGACCCCTTGCGGCGGCTGCGGCGACGGCGAAAGGTTTCCCTTTGTGAGCGATGAGTGTTTGACCGGAATGGTCGAGAAGGAAACCCACCACGTGCCGGTGGACGGTTACCTCTCCAAGTTGCAGAACGGCGAGTTGGATGTCGGAGCTAGAAGAGACGCCGTCGATTGGATTGGAAAGGTGGGTGTTTCGTTAATTGCGTTTTCGATTCTCATTTCGATCTTCATTTCGATGGCTGATTTCTGATTCTTCTAGTTTTGTCAAATGAGAATAGAAAAATTCAGTCAATTTTTGTCTCATTTTGGCTGATGATTGTTTCTTTCTGTTAGTTCTGATTGTTTAAGATTCCTGAGAAAGTTTAGTTGTTCTGTCTTTTTTTTCTTTCTCTCTCTCTCTGTATCTCTCTTTAAAGGATTTGCAATCTTCTGATTAGAATCATGTTGATTAGTGTTTGATATCCGAAGCCATTTTCCTTCTTTTTGTTGGTTGAACAGGTGAGTGCTCATTTCAGCTTTGGACCTCTATCTACATACTTAGCCGTAAACTACTTGGATCGCTTCCTCTCGGCTTACGATCTACCCGTAAGGACGATTGCTGCCCTTCGTTTTTCGGTAATTCGTCGTTCCATTCGATACAACATGGGGTGTCTTATTGGTCTTGTGCCATTTGCAGAAGGGGAAGGCTTGGACAATGCAGTTGCTGGCTGTGGCATGTATGGCCCTTGCAGCCAAATTGGAGGAGACTGAAGTCCCACTCTCTCTGGATTTACAGGTTGCTATATCATTTCGGTCGCTACCGAGTTGCTTGAATCAATTCGGGTTTTTTGTTAACAGATAACTGTTTCCCTAATTGTTTAAGTTCAATCAACAGGTGGGTGGATCAAAGTTTGTGTTTGAAGCAAGAACCATTGAAAGAATGGAGCTTTTAGTCTTGACCACTTTGGGGTGGAGAATGCAAGCAGTTACCCCTTTCTCGTTTATCGATCATTGCCTCCGCAAGATTCAAGACGACGAAATTGCAGTCAAAACGTCGCTCGGCCGATCCATTCATCTAGTATTGAACATCATACAAGGTCCTCTCTCTCTCTCTATTAAACTGGCATTAGTGTTAGTACTAAACAGGTGTTTAATTTCTTCAATGTATTGCTGCGGTACGAAATCATCGTGGTCGAGATTTTGAAATCGTTCTGATCTTTTCGGGTGGTTGGGAAATGAATGCAGGGATTGACTTCTTGGAATTCAAACCTTCTGAAATAGCAGCAGCTGTGGCAATATCAGTAGCTGGAGAAGCTCAACCAGTGGACCCTGAGAAAGCAATTCCTCTTCTCATTCAGCAACTCCAAATGGTAATGTGGATGATCAAGTGGTCCAAGAACCAAACACTTGAGGCTCACATTTATAAACATCATAGCCAATTACTCTTCATATAATCTCAGTATCAAGATTGATCGATTTTTCGTGTGTATCATCATCCTCATTAGATGCAAAATTAAAAGTTCAAACAGCTAAGACCAGAATCAGATCATCTGATACATTTGCATTTTTGTGCAGGAAAGAGTTTTGAAATGCATTAAATTGATTAATGGATGCGGGTGTGGGTCGGCAAAGGACTCGAGAGCGTCGATGTCGGAGCCCCGTAGCCCGAGCGGGGTGCTGGACGTGACGTGCTTAAGCTATAAAAGCAATGATACAGCAGTTGGGTCATGTGCAAACTCTTCTTCTCATCATAACAGTTCAGATGCTGCAAAGAGGAGGAGACTGAACAGACCCTGTGAAGTGGAGCTATAGAAAAGAAAAATAAATTATAAGAAAAAAAAAAGAGTTGATGGGAGGTGTGATCTTCCAGTTCTAAAGTAAATTTTTGATGAGGGGTTTTTTTTTTTTTTTCCAAACAGCTGTTATTGGAAGGAGTGTTATAAAAAGGAAACGAAGAAAAGAGAACACAAAGAAGAAGAATGGAGAACCAAGTTCCCAAGCTGTTTCTGTTATGAGAGAGGAGGAGGAATTGGATGTGGGAAGTGTTTAATTTTGAGATACACTTTCTTGTATGTGTCGAATTTTTATTGGTCGAGACCAAAAAGAAGGGTAAAGAAATAGTGGGAAAAAAAAAGAGAAGTTAAAAATGCTTAATTTTATATAAATTTCGGAATTGTTTAATATATCTTCTGTTGAGTCATTTATATAGTGCTTTTCAACTCTCAGTCTGCAGCCCTTTGTTTGACTGTTTGTCTACTAAGACTGGGTAAAATAAAGTCTATTCCTATAATAAAGAAAGTATAAAAATAAAAAAAAAACAAAACAAAACAAAACAAGAAAAAAAGGAGGGAATTTTTAGAAATTACTAGCCTTACCTATTAAGCTACGTTCACATTGGCTAAAATTATATTAAATTAGAATATTTTTCGCCATTGTTTTTAATTATGACTCTAAATTTAGCTCTAATCCAAATTTCCGAGATAAATAAGGTTGGTGTGGTGTGATTAGAATTTATCTCTCTTGAATTTAGAGAGAGAAGACGGACCTGGGGTGGGATATATATATGGCAGGGCAGAGAATTTTACTGAGTGGCGATTCACTGGCATTTTATATTTCTCCTTTTTAATTTTGACATCACATTTCTTTCAAAGAACAAAAAAAATTGACACCACATCATGAACCTCAATCAGATTCTACAAAGGTAAAATTCAAGCAATAAAAGACAAATTACTTGCCAAAATCTTCACTTCACACCTTTCTTATTTTCTTAACTGCTCATTTCTCAAGAAACTTAACCTGCCAAAAAAATTATATTCCTTCTTTTTGTTACATGTAAAATTAATGGGTTTGAATATTGAAAAAAAAAAAAAGATAATCATGTATGGGATAGATTTTTTGAGAAGGAATATAATTACCAAAACTGCAATGTAATATGAATCCATGGTCTGATCCAAAAATAAACTATGCTATAAATTATTTATTTCCACTAAAATAATATGCTACTTTGCTGATTTTTCTTTTTAAATCATTAAATTAGAAAGAAAGAGGAAGAGGAAAATCCAACTCCAATGCCATTTTGAATTTAATTCTTCTCACATGAGACAAAACCTTGTCGTTTCGTGACCTTAAAACCCCATTTCGTTTCTGACTTTCGTACGTGGAAGGTTAAAATTGGTATTTAAGATATTTAGCGTTGTGCTTGTGCATAGCCAGCCTATAGTGGGGGCCAGTATCGGTATCATCTATTTTAGTTGGATTCTTTCACGTTGGGCCAGGTGTCGATACTAACGATACAATATGGGCTTCTTCATAGGCCTGCGTTGAATATGGGCTGGGCTTTGCTGGACCGTTCCACCATTGAAATTGGCCCACGTAAATGAACGGTGGAAGGCAGTTGTACCTGTGGGCTTAACCAAATCATGAGAGATGAACCCATTAGGCCTTGTTTAGAAACGATTTTCATTTGTTTTCTTTAAATAAATAATATACATTTAAAATTAACATTTTTTAAGTTTTTATTTTTTCCTTAGCTTACTTTTAGTGTATGAAACAAATAACCTCTTAAAAAGTATACTACTTCTTGCATCATTTAATTTCATTTTAAAGTTCAAAAATTCAAAAATATAATCGCACTTTTTAGGAAACTTCAAAACAGGTATTGATATACTATATTTTTTTTTCAACGTGGTAAAATTATTGAAGTACAATAGGGTGAATGTGCAACAAGAAGTAGATATATGTAACATTATGAAACTTGGCAAAAATATTTATATTCAGGTTTTTATTTTGTTTTGGTAGTTAATTCTGGAATTTGGGGTTGGGACAGGCCAAGAAATGAGGAGAAACAGGCCCAGCCCAATGATGAGTTGTTGGGGGTGAAAATGAAAATAGAAAAGAATGAAGGGGTGAGGCAGAAAATGGAAGAAAAAGAGAAGGCATGGGAAAAGGGTGAAGATAGATCCAGTTAAAACATGCCAGAAAGCACGCCCCCACTGGCGGCTACGCTTCCGCAATGGGCGCTGCGGCGTGGTCCCCACACCCCGTCTTCAAATGTAAAATTTATTAATTTTATTTTTAAAAATATAGAATTAACATTGACACACGTCACTCATCACTGCCTCCACCTCTCTCTTTACTCTCTTTTTTGTTAACCTTTTCCCTGCACAGTGCCCCTCGCGTGCATCCTCCCCCGCATTAAATTATCGTTTGACCAAATAATCCCTCTCTCTCTCTCTCTCTCTCTCTCTCTCATAGAACCTCGAGCCTAAGCGTGCTGTAATGCATGCGCCTACGACTCCTGCAACTAGATCCCGACGCCGATACGGTGCGCATAACCTCGCAGTCGCAACAACCCCGACCAGTCAAATTACCAAACTCTCCCTATCTCTCTCTCCTCTTCCTCCATCGCAACCAGTCTCCTCTCGCCACGTGTTCTGTCATGGGAACTCTCACAATTATTATATTAATTAATTATCAACCACGTTCCTGATCTGACCCTTTCCGACGACGACTTCTTTCTTCTTAAATCTTAATAATATTTTGGTTTTCCTTTTTTTTCTTTCTTTTTTGCGGGATTTGTCGGAGGAAGCGTGGCCGCCGTTGATTTAATTTGTGATGTGATCCGACAGCGTGGATGTTGAACAGAGAGAAATGGCGTCTGAGATAAGACGGCATGTCCTTTGCAAAAAATAATAATAATAATAATAATAAGAAAGAAAAATAAGACGGCATGTCGATTAAAAAAGTCGCCAGCCGCGTGAGTGACTTTTGAATTTTTTCTATTTCTTTCTTTATTTTTTTGCATTTTGTTAAATTTTTTGTTTTGTGAATTTTTTGGTTAAAAGATTGGGTGGACACTGTGCTTAAGATTTGGTGGTCGGAAACAGCAAGATTTTCTTCCCACTTCTTTATTAATTTCCCTCCTAACGGGACACCTGAAAATTTTACCCCCGTTTATAAAAACCAGATTAATAAAATAATTATAATTTGTTTCAAATAAATATACCAAATTACTCTTTTACCCTTCCTATCGTTGGGTTTTACCCTTTTTCAAGTCTACGCGTTCCACTTACTCAACGAAAAATTACATCTTATACCCCTCCCAGTTTTTTATTCTTCTTATTATTATTTTCTTAATTCCATATGTGTAATCTGTCAAAATATAATGAATAACTGAGTACTATTGTATGGGGTTTCACCCACTTGTGTCAATGATATAAATTGTGTTTGCATTGTATTGTAAATTTGTAACAACTAATTAGTCAAATATATGATTTCCAAAAAAAAAAAAGATTTCCAAAAGAAGAAAAAAAGTCAAATATATGAGGGAGAAAATAAAATATAACCATTATGGCCTCTAGTTGAAAATTACGAACAATTTTTTTAAATTTTTTTTTATGCTTACTGGATAATTTAATATTTTATTCGTATGGAAAACTCGTTATGAACCAACTTCGAAAACGGAGTATTTGTGCTTCATTTTTAGAGTCATCCAAGAGAAATGTAGACTGGTATCAATTCGTAAATAATATTTGTGTCAAATTTGACTTTTTGTAAATCCTTCAATCCTATGCCTAAATTTTCAAGACTCGTAGACAAGCTTACAAATCCTAACACTTTACTTGATTGAACTCTCAATATTGCTACAACTACTCATCTTTTTTCTGCTCGTTGAGTGCATCTTTGGCTCTTACTCGTCTAACTTAGGCAATTGAGTTTCTTCGTCCCTCTCCCGCTTACAGATGAGTCACTCGAGTTCCTTGACAAATATAAAAAATACAGAAGTGTTTGTTTTCTAAACTAATGTTTCAAAAACATGTTTAAAAAAGTTACAAATTTCATGAGTAAACAATCATATATAAT